AAATTCTTAGAATTATAAAATTTTTATGAATAAATTGTCATTATTATTATGTTAATTTTATTACTTTTAATTATATTATTATTTATTACGTCATCCGGTTCGACCCCGGTTCGACCGGTCGAACCATGAACCTCTCATTCTTCCGGTTCGTTGTCCGGTCCGGTTTTCACAACCTTGGTTATGACAATAAAATATACTTATTTAGATATTTAATAAAATTATGTTGTATTTTAAATGCATTTAATTTGATAATTTTAATATTTTTTTAATTTATATTAATTTTACCCTAAATTCTATGTATGTTCTAATATATTTATTTTACACTTAAAAATTTTATATGTTTTAATTGAATACTATCAAATAGCTCCTAAAACCTTGTTTTTTTTTTTTAATTCTTTGTTTTAATATTTATTTTACACTCCTCACCACGGTTTCGGAATAAGGGTCATCTAAAGCGAGGCAGAGGAGAGAAGGTTTAGATGAAGATGGGTTGGCTCGGCATTTCGTCGAGAGCGGAAGGCAGGAGTAGACTTGTCTTAATTTGTCAGGAAGAGAGAGAGAGAGAGATTCAATTAAGGAAAATTTACATACATACTACTTTTTAACATCTTATTTATATATCTAACACTCAAAAGTTTAATATTACATACATACCACCCTTTATTATTTTAATATTAAATATGCCACTCATATTTCCTTCATACTACTCATATTTTTCATTTCTACCGCTCATATTTGATATAAAAATGAACTATGAGTAGTATGTATGTAATATTAAAGTTTTAGGTGTTAAATATGTATATAGAATAGTATAGAGTGTTATGTATGTAAATCCTTGAGAAATTTACATACATACCACTTTATAACATCTTATTTACATATCTAACATTCAAAAGTTTAATATTACATACATACCACCCTTTATTATTTTAATATCAAATATGCCACTCATATTTCTTTCATACTATTCATATTTTTCATTTCTACCACTCATATTTGATATAAAAATAAACTATGAGTAGTATGTATGTAATATTAAAGCTTTAGGTGTTAAATATGTAAATATAATAGTATAGAGTGTTATGTATGTAAATCCCTGGGAAATTTACCTACATACCACTTTATAACATCTTATTTACACATCTAACACTCAAAAGTTTAATATTACATACATACCACCCTTTATTATTTTAATATCAAATATGCTACTCATATTTCTTTCATACTACTCATATTTTTTATTTCTACCACTCATATTTGATATAAAAATGAACTATTAATTAGAGCTGGAATGTGAATTAGGCTAATGAGAAAATGGCTCTTAAATATACATGTGATGGTGTATGCCTCTTAATTGAAGTATTTATTATTTTTTCAAAGATATATTTAATATTATACCTTTTCATATAATAATTTAAAAAAAAAAACTACCTATGCCGTTTTCAAGCTCGAATAAAAAAGTTTAGGAAAATTTTAAAATAATTAATTTAGCCCCCCTTAATAAATTTTCTGGTTCTGTCACTGAGAATTCCTTTATACTTAATTTCTTTTTGCATTTTTCTTATAATAGCTCGATTAAAATCATGATACATACTATCAATATTTATAGCTTATTTTAAAGAATAATTATTTAGTTATTTTAGATTTCATATTTAATATAAGTATCATCAAAATTATGCCCAATAATTAGAGAAGAGTTGTTTGTATGTATTTTGTGATTTATCACTCTTCATTATGTATATATTCAAAGATAAAAATATGGTTATAATTTTATCTTTAATATATATTTTTTTTTTAATATTTTCTATATGCTCTTCATCAAAGCAAATTAATTAAACTAATTTAAACTGTTCAATGTCATATCCTATAATTAAAAAATATGTATTAATAGAAAAAATATCAAACATTCTTATATAAATTTTTTTCCCAATAGCAAACTGTCATTTTCACTCAATCAAAATCTTTTCGTCAAGAACCTAACAATCCATTTCAATCAAATTGACCAATAATTAATACAAAAAAAAAGAAGTTTATTAAGGGAAGATGATTGTTAGCTTATCGCATTTGACAACCAGCCTCTTAGGGCGTGTTTGGGATGACGTCTTCGCTGTTGTATGTCATGAAATGTGATAGAGTTGTTGTTTGGGGCCATGAGGTCATGCTCCATTCGTCCCGCGGTTACTTTTTCTGTCCTGAGATAGACATTAAAACTTAAATACCCTTGTGAAATACTCCGTGTCTTCTTCTTCCTTGTGAAGTTTGACAATTCATCCATTTTTTACATACCTCTTGTGGCACCGCTCGGTGTTTCATTCACAACCTTGGATGTAGAGGTGTGAACTACTGATCTTCCTTACAAGAAAACAAGGGAAGATGACTGGAATCATGGCGCTCGAGGTTGTGTTAAACACGCGAGAGGTGTCGATGTTACCGTAAGGCTATCGTAAGCTTCATCAACCACCAACTTCAGGTCTGCCAGGACGAGGAATGGAAAGTGATCAAGAATGACCTTCTCCATTGAAGTTCATTAGTGAGCTCAAAACCAGA